CCAAGAACGTATATTCATTTTACGACGACTTCTATCCCGAAGATATACAGCAGTGATTGTATAAAAAAGATGCGACAAATATGTTTGTTTGTGATGTAACTAATAGGCATAACTGGGATATCCTTCGACTTAATTTTATCTTTATTAACATTTTCCTGCTATTTTTTTCAATGTCCTTTGTAAGTATGTTCGATAAGATCGAGAGACATCTCAGCTAAAATAAAATGCATACCTTATGTCCAGCATATAATTCCTTACTATTTATTAGTTACGGATAAAGGATCAATTCACGTTCTTCATTGAATGAATCGTGAAATCTCTGAAAAAAACCAACTTCGTTTCTTTTTAATTTTGGTCGTGTTAACAATAATGGAGTAGATTAAATGGAATAAAATGTTAGAAAAAACAAGTAAATTAATTCATCATTACAAAATAATTTATCAGTTTCTAGCATTCAAGCTGGAAAGGATTTCCCAAGGTCATTTAGGTATTTGTACTAAGTGAAAACAACTTTGATTTAGTTGATTTCAAGCTTTGAAGTTAAATGTAATTGTTGATTGACCAATTCAAAAAAATATTTTATAGAATATTGTTTAATGTTTCAACTAGATTTATATGGTTTGGAAGGGCCCTGTGGTGATGTTATACCAATCAAAACATTCAGTACCTCTGATTTGTTCTTGGGTTTAGTGAAAGTTATTTAATGGGTTCTATTTGATAAAAAAATATGAAGGGAACCCATCTTTAAATTCCAAACAACGTTAACCAAATTCAAAATGCTTCTCTCTAGAAGTTCCCTGTATATTTGGCAACTGAATGACAATCAGTGCTTTTTTAAATCATTCGACATTCACGCTAATATTTATCTCCGAAGATAATATTTTTCTTTATGTTTGTACATTTATGTATGTATTAAGGCGACAAAACGTGTACATCTTCAGATTCTGGGCATATATTATAATAACACTTGAACTAAACACGATTTTTAATGCTTATAGAAATATCCTTAAAATTGATCCTAAGGGTTAAATAGAAAGAACGACAGATGCTTTAATGCCACTTATCCATAGCTGTAGTCATGTTCGAACCTAAATCTGAACTACTAATCGTATGATAATTGGAGCCTAATGTTATTGTAAAGATAATCGCTGTACAAATTAGTGGCTTCTATTTTCATCTTTAAAAATATAATAGTCGATTTGATTGTTTCAAAAAGAATTATTATTATTATTGGATCGGTAAATGATGAAGATGTGAGAAAAACTATTCATCAATGCGGAGATTGTATTGAATAATAAATTTAAACTATAGTTGTTTTAATGTTATGCCAAGTATCATGATAATCTTGTTTCATTAATTGATGATATAAATAAGTCAATAAATTTTAAGGTTATCAAAATGTCGAATAAGGGTAAGGTGAATGTTTCACTATGATAGATTTGTAAAAATAAAAACACTACAATATAGTATGCGAATATGTAATTCGATATAATGTAAAACATCAAACGTTACATATTAAATTGTGTTTGATGTTGCTTAATATGACCGAAAAATCGGTTTAAAAAATAAATGTGAAGGTATTAGAATGATACGTTGACCGATTTATCAATATAAACTACTATTGTTTTTTTAAAATTAGTTGTGGTAAAGTTTGATGTTGCTTTCCCATTTATCTGTTCTATTATATGTACATATTTATTATTTATTTCAAATGCATGGTATGTGTTTGAACGGGTGTTTTCATATATTTTACATAATTTTTAGGGTTATAAATGCATTATATACATGGATGAGAGCTCTACGTAAAGAGCAAGGATACTCCATATTCTCTTCAGTAAGATTCAGGATGATAAACAAATGTCAACAGACTGGAAAGAAGGACACCTTATCAAAATAACAAAGAAAGGCGATCTCATCAGGTGTGAGAATTACAGAGGCATCACTCTTCTTTCAATACCAGGAAAAGTCTTCAGCAGAGTGTTGTTAAGCAGAATGAAGGACTCTGTAGACGCCCAACTTTGAGATCAACAGGCTGGATTCCGTAAGGATCGATCAGTGTACAGACGAAATCGCAACTCTATGGATCATTGTGGAACAATCAATCGAATGAAATTCATCACTCAACATCAACTTCATTGACTACGTGAAAGCATTTGATAGCATGGACAGGAAAACACTATGGAGGCTTCTTCGAGGTTGCTTACACTCACCCTTTCTCTTTCTCCTGGTGATCGACTGGATCTGGAGGAAATCACGGGATACAGTGGACAGGCAGGATGCAGCTTGGCGATTTAGACTTCGCGGATGATCTGGCTCTTCTATCACACACGCAACAACAAATGCAGAAGAAGACGATCAGTTTAACAGTAACCTCAGCAGCAGTAGATCTCGACATACACGAAGGGAAAAGCAAAATTTTCTGATTCAAGACTAGATGCACTAATCTAATCACATTTGACGGAGAAGCTTTTGAGGATGTGAAACCCTTTACATATCTGGGCAGTATCATCGATGAGCATGGCGGATCTGATTCAGGTTTGAGGGCGCAAAACGGCAAAGCAAGAGCAGCATATTTACAACTGAAGAACATCTGGAACTCAAAACAATTGTCAATCAACACCAAGATCAAAATTCTCAATACAAATATCAAGATAGTTCTACTGTGTGGGGTGGAAACTTGGAGAACTACTACATCCATCATCCAGAAGATACAAGTGTTTATTAATAGTTGTCTACGCAAGATACTTCGGACCTGTTGACGGACACTATCAGCAACAATCTACTGTGAGAGAAAAGAACTAGATTTCAGCGGAGGAAGAAATCAGCAAGAAGCGCTGGAAATGAATGGGACACACATTAAGGAAATCACCCAATTGCATCACTATCCTAGCACACACTTGTAACCCTCAAGTCCAAAGGAAAAAACCAAAGAACACAATACGCCGTTAAATGGAATGAGATATGAGAAGAATGAACAACAACTGGATAGAACTAGAAAAGAAGACTGAGGACATAGTGGATTGGAGAATGCTGGTTGTTGACCTATGCTCCATTGAGGGTAATAGGCGTAAGTAAGTAATGAGAGCTCCACGTCCTCATGAAATACAACTGTTTGCTCCTTGTTAAAACAAAAACAAATTTTGGTGACTTCAAAACTTGGAATTAGCTACTGCAGTATGATTACAAACGATAGCAGTTTAACATTTAGAAGAAGGACCTGACATACATGACATTGATCACAACCCAGTGATCAATCTCAGCCGCGGCCGGGATAGCTCAGTTGTAACGTCTCTGACTGTGAAGCTGGGTGCCAAGGGGTTGAATCTGTCAGGAAGAATCAGTTCCCTCAAGATTACAGGTACACCTTGCCGACGAGTGTCAAGTAGCCGGAAACCTCGATCAAGGGTTTTCTGTTTTCCAACCACCATCTTATCTCAGCATGCTACACTCAATATCGCATCACCCGGACTGGTGACGGCAATGCAACTTGGTCGATAGGATTCTATCTGTACTAAGAAGGACCTGAAATACATGACATTGATCCCCGCCCAGTGATCAATCAATTGTAAATACATTTATAATCCTTTATAAACAGTTTAATAATGAAATCTAATATTTTTAACAGTCTATGAACAAAATAATGATCAGTTTTGATAAATTATGTAAAAAAATATTACATTTATCCCTGAATACGATAACGTCTTAATGTACGATTTTAGAATTTGCTAAGTGGTAGGTCGATTATTTCACTTGGTTCAAATCTCATAATGAACATGCAATGTCAATGAATAGCTCAAGATGATTGGAACCGTTGTGGTTCAATTGAATATAGTTTAACCTACATGTACATGATTAATGTTATTATCATAATTAGTGTTAAAATGATGAAGAAATATAAAAATTATATATGACAGTTACTATAATTTGAAGATAGTATAAAATAAAACAAATAACAATACCATGATTAGTCAAAAAATTCACATTAATAAACTAATATTTCAAACTAGTAAAATTGTTACTTTTCATATTCAATGGTCCAGATTTTCAAAACAAAATAAAAAAAATCATTTGAGGTTGAAATGCAAGCTCGAACACATCATTAAACATTTATAAGCACATATATATTTGAACGTAAATGAATTCAGATAACTAGAATAATTATGAACAATTACTAGACAAATGAAAATATAAGCAAATATCTTCTTATCTAGATGATATTTGGGAGAACTGTACCTTGTATTTAGCAACAGAAAAACCAAATCAGTTTGAAATATACTCCCTATAATAGTGTATATATTTTATTTGCCTAAAATGAAGTTAATTATTTAACGATAAGTATCAGATTATGTTGATGTAATTTTAAAAAAAGTGTTTGTGTACTTTATACTGTTTGGAGTACAATTGGAAACATTTCTACTATTTCTTAATTTAGATTGATATCATGAGTGGATTGATATGAAACCACCATTGAAATCCTTGAAATACTGTACGACCATTTCGTCCTAGTATTAGACTTCTCAAAAGCGCACACATACGATCCCTCATGTGGGACTCAAACCTAGGTTCTTCAGTCTCTCACGCGAATGCGTAACCTGCAGTCGACAGAGCCAGCATATAACAATGTTAATTAACTAACACAAAGTAATCTCACATAATATGATATATCAGTTATTAATGTTTATATACAGAACACTGACCATAGTGATAACATATTCCTAATTCTGAAACATTTGACTATCTAATTTCTGTACGATCGTAAGTTGATGATTGGTTTATAGACTCTGGAATAAAAACTTTTTTATAAGTTGACGAAACGTCATTAGATATACTGTCACTGATCACTTTCGCTTATATATATATACATAACAGTTGTCCAATCATGAAATAAGATAATATCTGACCAGTAGTATACAGTTTTATACGTATTCATTTGTACCAATAATAAAACATCTTAGTAACATACTATGTTTATAAAAACATTGTAAATAGCATTTATATTTGATAAATTTATTATTGTAATTATGTAAATTTAATAAAACATTCACAACTATTATCATCATTCTATATTAACTATTCATACATGTAAATTATTTGATGTATTATATATACATCATATTACCTATTAAGAATAGTGGATATATATTTTTAAATATACATTGGACAAATCATATAATAACTTAGTGAGTTTATTATTATTATTATTATTACTAGTATAAATATATTTATTTGTAAACTATTCTGATAGATGTAATTCAATTGTTGATTGTCTGTCTATTGAAAGTAACTTTTTTTATAAATTCTTTTGGTTCAATGGGGGGTTTTGTGGAGATTTTAGTAATTTTTCATATAGTTGAAAGCACTAGTCTAGTTTCAATTGATAATGATCATATGCTCATTAGTAACTCGCTCCATGAGATATTTTCTGGAGTTCTCTGTTGTGAGATGTCAACTCACTGAAGACATTGGTGAATGGTTACTCAATTTCGTGGATTGGTTGAAGTTAGATATTAACGTCGTTGGATGCCGACAGTCTCAGTGGTCTAGAGGTTAAGTACTCTTGCGCGAGACTAATAGGTCCTTGGTTCGAATCTTGCATAGCGAGATCGTGGATGCGCACTGTTGAGGAGTCCCATGGTTGGACGAAACAGCCGTCTAGTGCTTCCAGGTTTTCGATGGTAGTCTAGCTTCAATTGACTAATGACCTCAACTATGTAAAACATTTTTTATAATTTTAATCACTGAGCAACTTTCCAATAAATGATATTTACACAAATGATATTTATGTATATTGTATTTGTATTATATATCAATGTATTGCTTAACAATACAATAATCTATTTTCTGGTCAGTAACTGCAATTATTTACTGATGTATAACAGGAGAATAGATGAATTCCCCGTCTTGCAAATTATTTGCTTTAAATAAATCCTAAATTTGTAATATTCCAATGAGTAAAAAATTAGATTTTTTGACGTTTCGTGACTCAGTGTAAGCTACTCCGGTTATTTGTTCTCTGAAGAAGTAGCTTACACTGAAATACGAAACGTCAGAAACTTTAATTTTTCTACTCATCGGAACATTACAAATATATTAATTTATTTATAACAATCTACCCAATGCTCAATTTATTCAAAATTATCAAGTCAAACCTTAGTAATTATACCTATAAAATTTGTTTGTTTCTTTGTTTTATTAATTGAAGTTTTATGATAACAATTAGTTTTTTCTGTTAATATAATTAACATTTTGTACTAATATTTTGGAATGTTGATCTATCACCCTCTACGTTTATCCAACTTTTTTTAAAAATAAACTCTATTTAATATGTTCTCAATAAATTAATTATGGGATCTTCCAGACTAGTGATCTCTTACATTTTGATTATTGGCATTCTGTCGTTGTAAAAAACCTCCGCCTGTAGCTCTTCTAGAGTAACTGCCGGTCCTAAGCCCGGATAAAGGAGGAGGGTTGGCATCAGAGTTAGTTACCCCATCCCATCGCTAAGAAAACGCTAACCAGAAAAAATAATTTGAACCATCTAAACTCTGCCCTGGGAGTTGAAGGAATAATTATGAAGCTACATGATGAAATCCGAAATTTTTCGGAAGTCACGAGGCCGATGACCCTCCTTCTGTAATTATAATAAAAAGTTGTTTCTTTCTCATAATAATAAACAATTATAATTAGAAAATTTCATTGAACAGTAATGAATAATTAAGATTACTTATCCTAATAAATAGCTGTCTGATAGAATTTAATGCTCATTGCTGGTAAAACACAGCCTGCTCGAACATCTGTGCTACATGTTTCTTCCATCTAGATATTTTAACGAGTTATTTAATTTTGTTTGTTTTAATACACCATTATCGCTATTAATAGCATAACCTATTCACGTGCGTTTCTGAAAATCGTACAAATTTTCATTGTACAAGTTACAAATGCCCAATCAAAGATATCATGGTTGCTGACAATATGCAGCGAAAAGAATGTATATTACTTAGATTTCGATTGACTGGACTGCTAACTTATAACTGGCAATCAATCAATATTTATCGTCAGTATCTACCAATAAGTATTAAACTTAGACTTGTTGAAATACACCGTGCTGAGAATTCTATATTACACCAATATTGAATAGAGCTAATGATAATCATAATAAATTATTTGAATGTGATCTAGATATGATGTTATTCTTATCTTTACAATAGTAGTGAATCAATTTATATGTCAATGTTAACCATAAAAATTATTATTGAAAATAGTACATGTCATATGCTCTTATGTTTGTATACTTTATTCAATTATTTAGAAAAATGTATTTTGTTTGCGCAAACATAAATAATCGGTGGAACTTCTTTGTAAAAAAATAAATTCACATAAAGATGAATCGACTCATAAACTAACTCTTATATAAAACAAAACTTCCTCTGCGAAAATTCTCTTTGTAAAAAACGTTAGTAAAGCAAAAAACCAAAGGACTAAAGGAAAAGATTACACACTTAACTTGTGAATATCCTTCATAACATTCAATATAAAGAACATTTCCTGTGAAATTAAGCTGTCTATCTCATAGTGAATATGTAATACATCAGGAAATGTGATCCAAATACATTTATCCATTTAAAATCTTAACTCAACTATCTATAATCATTACTTATTATGAATTGTTTATTTCTTATATAATAAAATATAAATCTTTAAAAACAGACTAAACTATTTTGTAATAGACTTAGTCAAGGTCACATCCTGAATAAATTCACATTGTTTTGTTGTTTTTTTCTAATGTTTTACAACATGGATTAATTGTTCATTCATCAATAGCTTCCCCCATTTGTTTATTGAATTCAGCACGTTTATATTTTGTGTAAGTCTGAAATAACTATGATTTGCATTTATACATACATACATATACACCTCTATACATTACACATAATATATTTGATCTGATTCCAATGGAATATTAGAAAAATGTAATTATAAAAGTAATAATGTACAAACAATTCAATTTATATGATAGAATTAGGTCATATAATGATAAATGTTTGTTTTCATATTGTCGGTGTTAATGTTTCTAATTAATTATCTTCATCAGTATAATTGTCAACATTAATTCCAAAAAGGATAATCATCATAATCTGCCAAATACAAGTTTATATGAATAATTCCGGTTTTTTATATTCCTATGATATGCAATGTGATCAATGAAAAACAATGTGATCATACAAATATTCGTCAAGGTTAGAATGAATAGCTTGGCAAAAACTGAGCACCGAGTATAGAGAAGTAATTATATGTGAAAAATTATATTTGAAGTAGTCTCAGCGATTGAAACTTAAATAATTCCAACGTTTCGTCCAGCTAATTTGTCTGGACTTCTTCAGGGACGTCCCTGAAATACATTCTCTGCCTGACCAACGTCATATACTACTTATGTGGATATAAGTAATCCACTCCACACTAGTAAGCAGATAGACATTTTCAAAGTCATTTTAGCAAAGCTCAATGGTCGTCCATAAATTATAATCTCACCATTTAAATTCATCGATCTTTTTGTATTTCTTTGAATTTTGGCGGAACACATGCTATAAAACGTATACACCTTAACTTTGTATGCTTTCATATTACTTTATGAAATTACTACATTACGAAATACAATATTTTAATAGTTACTAGGGAAAATGATGAATGAATAATTAATCATCATAAAATATTACAGAATAAATTATCAATCTCTCCTAATTAGCTCGTCAAACACTGGGCAACTAGGAGTAAAAATTCATAATTTATTATTTCATTAATTTTGATTAGAAAAATAGAACAATCAAAATGATCACTGAAGAATAGATTCTAACTCTTATATTTGAACGAATATATCGTTTTATTAATGTAAGGGAAATACAACTGATTGATGAATACTTTTGTCAGAATATGTATCTCAACAATTAAATACATAATGTCATGTACTTTAATTAACAGGAACCAATATGGATTTTAGTGCAATTGTAGTGAAACTCTCAACTGGCCAAAAAAAACATAAAAATTAAAAGTTTGATTGAGTACACATATGCGTTTTGAAAGTATCTGTTTCATTCAAATTATGTTTCTGATGATACCATTTAAAACGATACAATATAAAATCGGTTATTTTAATAGACTATCATTTCTCTAGAATGATAAACTTTCTAAGAGCTGTGTAGAAAAAAAGTATATACCTATGAAATATTCAACAGATTGTTGAAGATGAATCAAATTACATGGGTTTGGTCAGAAATAACTATAAGATGCATTCTGATGTTAAAATAATCTATAAGATATGAATAATTTGCATTATATAGCTAGTTTCTGTAACAGTCATATGGTTTTATGCGAACTTACAGAATACGTACATTTTATCTCATAGTCGTAAACGAAGATTTGTTGAAAAAAACATCCAACCAATGATGACTAAAAGTAGTCATATAAGTTTTTTTGACGAATGTTTACACAAGGTGGTAAACTCAGAAACAAGTTAATTAGAAAAGTTATTGACTAAGTAAAAAGTCAGAATATCATTTCAAACCAATCGATGTATGGAATTTATAAAATTGTGAGTTTACTTTGTATGATCATAAAATTAATGCAAATTCTGAAGTATGTTTCTAAAACATAGTGATACATACTTCATTGCTGGAATATAAAATAAGGTGTTGCTCACACTTATTGCCACCCACTTTACTTATTAGCAAGCAATACCTTCAACTATTGAGTTGGTGAAGTATTTTTATTTTCTCTTTCGGCTAAACAGAAAAGTATCAATAAGTATGCTGTTAAATTATATAGAATTTCTTGGATCAACAACACTAATCACATACTTTGCTAAAAAGACTAAGAGATCAACCAGAAGGAGAACTGGGTCAATAGAGTAAAGCCTAAGGTTTTAAAATAATTATTTGAGAAAGTGAAAATCAAGCAATAATTTATTCTGACTAGAAGATACCAGTGTTAACTGTATTTGTTGTATTACAACTGGGTTTTAAAATAATCTAACTAAATTTGATAAATAATAACAAGATTTTTTACCATTAGGAATTTGTATAATTAAATTACTTTCCTCCAATATTGGAATAAACATGTTAGGATTAAAATTCTACACCACCGAATCGCGGCTTAGAGGTCAAGTATACCCTCACGAAACTGAAGG